TTAGGATTGCTTGCTAGATGTGGATCGATTAGATTTAATTTTTTTCTCGAGATTCGTTTCGAGGATTTTTGAAGGAAAAAGGAGAAGATACGTGGGAAGAGATCCCACTGTAGGTTTATGATTCGTATAATTAAGACGAAGTATAGGGTAGAATTTAATGGAGGATAGAAATGCAAAAGATTGGTTAATAGTACAATCATGCGGTGTAATAAAGTGGTACTCGTTGATGGTCTTGAATTACTGATTAATTTCAAAAGTACTATAATTGATATGGGGTTGAATCCTCTAGTAACGATCCTGAACGTCCAGTCATAATATCCGAGAATCGAGGATTTCATTTTCTAGATACTTATCGGCGATGAGATTTCTCTCGTAAAGGGGGCGCGATTCGTTTTCGTAAGTCGGGGAAAAAATTAAAATTAGCTAGTAAAGTTAAAAATTCGCAGAGAAATTTTTACTTCGGCTTTCCTCCAAGTTTCTCCACGTCACGTGTCGTGACGAGCCGAGTCTCGGACGAATTTTTCTAAGAATCTTTTCGAAAATAGAAAAATTTTCTCGACGTAATGTCGATCGAGAGGAACGTTACGCTGGTCTCGACGAGAAAGGAAGATTCGTACGTGTACGAGCTCGGTTAACGCCAGGCCAGGCCAATAGGAAAGATTCGCTTCCGTGGTTTGCTTATCGATTCAAATCGCGTGCAGCGTGTATGAATGAAGGAATGAGTGGGCGAGTCGAGCCACCGGTTGAATGGAAGCCCCACGGGTGACCACAAGGCACACGCGCGCGTACAAACTTCTCTTTCTTCCTTTCTTTCTTTCTTTCTTTCTTTCTTTCTTTCTTCCCGTTCTTTTGCGCGGCCCTCCCTCGTTCCCTCTCTCTCGCTCCCCACGTTTCGCCAACGCGCCCTCCTTCTCCCACCAACGCACGCTCCTCTCTCCGTACACTTGACCCTTGCGGCGAGAGACCGATGAAATCGTTCCACGCCATCCACCTTCCAAGCTTTCACGGCTTGCCGCGGTGTCTGCCTCGCTTCTTGTCTCTCCGTTTCAATCGATACCAATA